AGGCAAAAACACCCGGTGGGTGTTTTTCCCACGGCACACCTTACACTATGTCACGGCACACTAGTGTGCCGTGGCACAGTGGTTGAAAAACACTGCCATAACTAATGAACTTGTCTATGAAGGCTTTTAATTGCGGACTCACTGAGAAACAAATATGGGGGTAGGGGGATTACTAAACAATCTTGAAAGCCAACTGGATTGATGTATTTGTTAGCACTGTAGAACAGTTCAAGGAACTTTTAACAGATAGAACTGTTAAATAATTTATATAAATAAGTTAAATAATATACACAAATATTTTCAAACACTTTTTATTTCTTGGCCCCTAGCAACTACATTCTGACAGTCCAGATCAAAATATTAGTGCTTATCATCTGAATTTTATTTTTAATTTGAAAAATAAATGAATGGAAAATTGACATACTGTAAAGCAGTCAATAGCCTCCAACATCAGTTTGTTTTGTAAAAAGTTTCTGGGCTAGACTTTGTTCTTAAAAGGAATTTTGGGAAAATGAAAATAATGGATTGCTATAGCTCAGTACTTTGTTTTGCTAAAAAGAAGATAAAGGGAAGCTAGATATAGCAGGGAAAGTTCAGAAGAGTACTAGGGATGACTGAGATGTATGAAATGAAAATTATGTGATTTTGTGTGAATATTTTTGTGAATCTGTAAAATTTCATCCAAAGCAGGCATTTTATTCATTTTTTTAAATCCAGCCTTTATTACTTTATAAATTACTCAAAGCAGCAAACAATAATACTCTCCTCCTCCTATTTTCCCCACAACAATTACCCTGTGAGGTGAAGGCTAAGAGAGTGATTGGCTCAAAGTAACAGTAACAGTAAAGTTATAGGTAACCTCTGTTCCCCCTCCGTGTAGAAGCACGGCATGCTTTTGGAGGGGGAAGACCTTTTATTTGGCTTATTTCAATATTAAACTCTCACCACAGGATTTCTGTACTTTTTGAATTTTGCAAAATGTTTGGAGTTTCTTTTTTAAATTTTTACTTTATCTTGGATTGAAATATACAAGCAAAGATTGAGGGAGGCTGGATGGATTTATTACACGTAATTGGAAATCACTTCTATTTGGACATTTTTGGGGAAGATAGACTTATTGTGGAGATTAAATCTATTATATTTAATTTGAGAACAATTGAAAAGAGATGACAGTAAGAAAGAAATGTGGATATTTGATCCAGGGTGAATTATTTTTAACTTTTGGAATATTTGGGATAGATAATATATCATGGTAAACTTTCTATTAGAATGGATTATAATAAAATATCGTGAACAGAGAATTTTGAAACTTTAATATTGTCCGGCTGATGACCTCTTTCTATCCATCCACCATAGAAAGTGTCCTCACATATTGCATTACAGTATGTCATGCTGGTTTAACAGCTGTGGACAGGAAGGCACTACAGCGAGTGATCAATTCGGCACAAGAAACCATTGGTGGCCCTCTGACACCACTGGATCACATCGCCAGGTCTTGATGCTTTAGCAGAGTAAGGAAGATACTCAGTGATGATTCACACCCTGGTCAGTGTCTCTTTGAACTTTTACCATCGGGCAGAAGACATCAGAGTATAGCCAGCCAAACAAATAGTTTTAAAAATAGTTTCTATCCTTGGGCTGTCAGACTTTTAAATACAACCATAACCACTCCATGCACACGCAGAAACGTATGACCAGTTTTTTCTTTTTCTTTCTTTTTTCGTTTCTGCTATAATTTTGTACCAGTGAAGCTAAAACCAATTTCGTTGTATTTATTTTGTACAATGACAAGAAAGATTATACTATCATTCTTCCTATTAATTATTTTATCACTAATATAATATAGAGAAGACAGGTCAATAATTTGCAAATAGATTTAATAGTTTAAAAATTTGGGGAGAGGCTGTTTCACAAGGAGTGGGAATCAATTTCATAGTAATGTATTTTTTTTAATTAAAATATTTTAATATTTTTTTTATTATTACTCCTAGAAGAAACAGCTCAGGGTTCATGTCAATTTTTTGTTCTATTATTTCTTCTTAACCATTTTTGAATTTTGGTCCAGAATTCTTTGGCTTTCGGACACGTCCACCACATATGATAGAAGGTCCCCTGTTGGTGGTTACATTTCCAACAGTTTGGAGATCTATTTGGGAACATTTTGGCATTTCACTGGGAGTAAATGCCATCTATAAAACATTTTGTAGATGTTTTCCTTATA